GGCGTACTTGCACAAAAGGCTAGAAGAATGCCTGTAAAATCGCAATTTAGGAGCAGAGTACTAGCAAGCTTGTTGACCTATTGTGTGGTATCTGAATGGACAATAAAGTGTTTGAAGACAGTTTCGAAATGGACGCAAAATTACGTCACCAATATGTTGCGAAGACTTCTGATTGATTATCCCGAAATCTACGCTAAGGAGTCGTGGAGAAAAGGACGCACGAAAACTAACCACTTTAACAAAATACGTTCCGGCAGTCTCGACAGAGCGCATGAAGCGGCACTCGAGCAAATCGCATGCAGTCGTCCTAGTGGTTACAGAATAAAGTCGGTCTACTACGCTGGCAAAGGCGAAAAACGCCGAGTAGGAACTCATTAAAGAATTAAAATCATATAAAGCACACGGACAACAAGAATCGAATGTTGCACACGTGTTCACAATTTTACCTTCTTTTCGAGATAATTCTTAGCCTCTATTTGCTTCGTTCCCACTGAAGCCGCTTTATGACCAGCAACGAAACCACTTGGGTCCGTTTTAAAAAGTTGAGCACATTGAAGTTCCTCGTCATAGGATATAGCCATCATAGCGCAACCAAGGGGACGCATTTCAGCGGACTGTGTGTAAACCTGGTTGATTTCTCCGATTCGTTTAAGAAGGACATCGCATGGCATCTCATAACTAAAAATCACACTAAGGAAACAACACTTACCCATATTTGTATTTAAAGTTGGCAGCCTCATACCTGGCCCGTTGCACTTGCGCTCTGCAATCAGGCATCATGCCCGTCATTATACAACCGGTACGAGGAGTAAGGCTAAAGAGCCTGGTAATAGAACTGCGCTCAATTAGTTTGTCTGGGAGTTTGCACTGACACGCAACAACTGCGCAATTCTCTCCCCGGATGCCAACAGACGTAAGACCGTCTAAACTAATAGCCTTAAAAGTATATTCTGAAGGCGTTTAGATAGATTTTCACTAACCAACTTGAAATAGTCTCCCTTCTGGAGAGAAAATTGTCATATACTGATCAAAGCCACTGGAACTTGCCGCCGACATTATCTAAGGTGACTTTAGTAATCTATTTGAAAGATAGCAACACTTTTCTGTGAATTTAAACGAATAAAGGCTCAAAAAAACCAATTTCGATTTTTTTAAGATTTGGAGGGTATCGCATAGGATATATCTATCAAATAATATATATTGGATATTCTAAGGTAACAAGTCAAATTCAACATTTGAGTGCTAACGAAAACTGAGGAATACTTTAAGGATACCCCAGTTTGCGGGTGCCAAAATCGTCAGTTTCACCTGATAGTGAGAATATTACCTTACCGGAAGAAATCATGTAGTAACACGCAAAATCTAGCTTGGAAGAAATAAAATGAGCGGCAAATTCAAACTTAAATTAGCTACAACTTTGCATAAGTGAACAACTTATTTTACATTGGGGCGGGATTCAATCCCCAAGATGCTCAGAGCTGGTAGAGTTGATAGGTGACCCTTTAATGGAAACGGCTAAACCAAAAATGCAGACACCTATGTATAGGACACTA